ACTAACTCTGATGCCTGTTAGTGATGGGCAAGTCAAAGTTTGAGAATAGGGTCAACATCTTTTGTTGGACCTTCTGCTATTAGAGGGCAAGGACAAGTAACTTCCTCACTGTTCATGCTGTTCCTCTGAGCTGCATCCAAAAGCTCATCCCCTCTCCCCAGCACCTGTACACCTTATGAAAGCAAATCCAGTTCCCTCTTACATTCAAAGAACACAGCTGACACTTCCAGGAAAAGTTGGGAGGTTTTGGGGGGTTTTTTGGTTTGTTTTTAGGTGGGTAGATTCAGGGAGCATCAACTGTGATGCTGCACCATGAGTGAGAATGAGCCTGGAGCTGAGGCTGCTCACAACACAGCCCCAGCCATGCTCTCACCAGCCAGGGCACAGCTCTGCAGTATCTGAATGTGGCAGACCGAGCAGCGTCCTTATAAAAGGGTCTATCGTCAGAACCAGAAAGGACAAGGGAGTGAATGAGGTGCAGGGTCCATCCAAGGCCTAAATTCAGTAGCAGCAGGAGACAGGGACGGAGGCAGGACTGGAGATGAAGGTGAAACATAGGACCAAGGTACATTCAGGAGATGGGAAGAGACAGGCATGCCTTCAACTTAGTTCAAGCAAGGCCTGAAACCAAGGACAGAGCTTCAGTGGGGCTGCACATGAGCAGAGGGTGAGGGCAGATGGTCTGTGTGAGGCTGGTCAGGTCTATTACAGCCTTGAGTGCAACATCTCCTGACCTCCCTTGCTATGTTCCTCACACCCTGCAGAGATCTGGGCTCAGAGGGACTTGCTGTGGAGGGACCTGATTGCTGTGGGTTTCCGTGGGGCCATTTGAGGGTTACAGAACCAGGGCAGAGACCTGGGTGGTGGTTGAGGGACAGGCTTCTCCCTGGGTGCCCCAGAGACCAGGCAGGTCTGATGGGGAGGAGTCCCTTGGGAGCCTGGGACTGGGCAGGGGTCAGTACTGAGGAGACCACAGCCATGGGCCAGGCTTGTCCTACAGAGTAGCCCTGGGAGAAGGCTCTGCATGGCCCTAGAGCTGGCCTTTACAAGGCTCAGCTCAGGGCTGGAGATGGCCTGAGCTCTCTTCTGGGGAGCAGCCTCACAGTGGGTGACATCCCAGGAGCCAAGGCTGATCCAGCTAAGGCAGGGTTCTCCCCAGCAGGGCTTGGTCCCACCAAACTTGAACACAGTGGGCAGAGCGGGGGGCTGGAAACAGGGTCCAGCATGCCTGCCAAAGGACTTCTTTAGCTAGAGGGAGATGGAAAAATCCCTCCTCAACACAGAAGAGAAAGAAATTGAACCACAGGGCTGCTGAGCAAGAGGGTTCTTCTCTCCTTACTGCTTTAGCCCATAGGCAGCACAGAATCTTCTTTAAGAAGACCTTTAAGATCATCAAGTTCAACCATCAACCCAACACCACCATGCCTACTAAACCATGTCCCAAAGTGCTATGTCTACACGTTTTTTGAACACCTCCAGGGATGGTGACTCCACTGCCTCTCTGGGCAGTCTGTTCTAATGCTTGACCACTCTTTCAGTGAAGAAATTTTTCCTGATCAATGTAAACCTCCCCTGACACAACTTGAGACCATTTCCTCTTGTCCTTTTGCTAGTTACTTGGGAGAAGAGGCCAACCCCCACCTGGCTACAACCTCCTTTCAGGTAGTTGTAGAGAGAGATAAGGTCTCCCCTCAGCATCCTCTTCTCCAGACTAAACAACCCACTTCCCTCAGCTGCTCCTCATAAGACTTCTTCTCCAGACCTTTCACCAGCTTTGTTGCTCTTCTCTGGACATGCTCCAGCACCTCAATGTCCTTGTACTGAGGGGCCCAAAACTGAACACAGTATTTGAGGTGCAGCCTCCCCAGTGCTGAGTACAGGGGGATGGTCACTTCCTGGGTCCTGCTGGCCACACTATTTCTGATACAAGAAAATGCATTTCTTTCCAGTGTGCTGCAAAAGCACATCTCCTGTCCTTAGGAGCTACAGCATAAATGTCTGTGTCCTTTGGGCCACCCTCTCCTGCCTCTCCAGCCAGGGCAGAGCCAGAGGAGATGCTTCTTCAAAGGTGCTGATAGGAGCTGTGCTCTGTGCCTGCCTGTGCGGAGTCTGGCTGGGATGGAGTTAATTTCCTTCATAGCACCCCAGGACTGTGTGCTTTGCATTTGTGGCTAAAACATACTTGTGTTTTGGCTGTTGCTGAACAGTGCTTGCACAGTGTCAAGGCTTTCTCTCTCCCCCACACCTCCAAAGTGAGTAGGCTGGGGGCAGACAAGAGGTTGTGAGGGGACACAGCTGGGACAGCTGACCCAAACTGATCAAAGGGATATTGCATACCATATGACCTTGTGCTCAGCAGTGAAAACTCAGGGAAAGGAGGAGGAAGGGGCGACATGAGGGGTTGAGGTATTTGCAATCCCAAGTGTGGTGGGTTGACCCTGGCTGGGGGCCAGGTGCCCACCAGAGCCGCTCTATCACTTGCCTCCTCAGCAAGGCAGGGAGGGGAGAAAGGAAGGTGGAGAAAAACAACCCCAAACTCGTGAGTCAAGATAAAGGCAGTTTAATGTAGCTAAAGCAAAAAGCCG